AATATACAGTTGGAAAAGTTTCATTTGAAAGATCAAATATAAAATTCAAAAAAAGCCCGTCAACAGACTTCTGAAACATTCCTTTTTCATTTTGAATATTGTCAAAAGGCTGAATAACTTTAAAAATGGAACAGACTATGGAGCTATATGATACATGAGACACAATATTTTTAAGTGCCCTAAGAAATGTAAGAATCCAAGCCAAGATATTGTATATCATGCCCCCAGTGCATATTATATCCTGAATCTAGAAAACAATAGACTAATATTTTGACATTAATTCTGTATTTGTAGAAGTGTCTGGTGATAACTGTAATTTAAAGGTTTTCAGAGAACAAGCTCAGTAAAGCAATTTAAATTATCATAGCAGAATATTGTTAAATTTAGTGTAGACATAAACAACAAAGTGCCTGGAAATATTTAAGAAATGGGAATTCTAGGGATGAAACTTTAGAAAAGGTAGTGAATGTCATCACTATCCATAATAATCAGATTGTACATTTATTGATGATTAGAAGTCTCTTAAGAAGATTTTGCAAAAATGAAAAAAATGGACTTGTATGGTGTTAATAATTAGATAGTTTAGAGAAAGAAGAGTAATATATAATTTTAGAAAGAGTTGAAATATAAATTTCATATAGATTTGATAAATGTGTACATATAATTGATGTGAAGAATATCGAAAGCCATTTCTTTATATCTTTTTTCTATTTTTCTTCATTTTTTCTTTTCTTGCATTTTTGCTTTTTCTTTCTTTTTTTCTTACTTTTATTTTGTGTTAGTTTTTATATTTTTCAAAAATTTTAATAAAAATTATATACATGTGATAACATTTTGGGCAGATCACTGATGAGATTAACAATCAACTCCAGAGCTACCTTTATCATTAGGCAAAGTGAAACAGTTTATTACACTTAAGTGTTTTTTCTTGAGGGAAAGATAGAGAGGTATTTGTGACGATTTTTGCTTTAGAGTCAAAGTTGTATGGCAAATAACACTTGGAAAGCAAAACATTAGTAGCAAAATGACTTAAGACTACGACTCTGGCTATCTGGATTCATTGCTTTATTGATGTCTGGTTGATTCTTACTGAGCACATAGATTTTTTTTCATGATGATCTGTTCTTAACCCACTCCTTCAGGTCTAACCCACACTCATCGCCACTGTAATTCAGCCTATCCACCTTTGCTGGTCATCTTCTTTCTTTCCACCTTTCCCAGCATTAAAACCTTCTCTAGGAACTAAGTGTTTACATAATGTGTCTGAAGTAGGATAATTTGAGCCTGCGAATTTGAGCCTTAAATGAGAACTCTAGGTTGATTTGATTATCCATTTGTTAGTTTTCTTGGCTGCTCACAGTATTCTCAGACATCTTCTCCAACACCAAAGCTCAAAAGCATCAATACTCTTCCTATCTTGCTTTGCCTACCCAACTTTAATTTCCACAGAATGTGACAGGGGGACCACTGCCTGCAAAATCTTTGATCTTTGTAAGTATAGATACATCATGGCATGTAAGTATCTTTTTCAAGGCCTTCAAGGTTACTCTACCTAGTGCTAGTCTATGAAATATTTCGTGCTTATTCCTTTAGATCAGGGGTGTCATACTCGCCACATCACGTGACGTGTCATGACAGCGTGACTTTTTTCCCCTTGCCGGAGCTGGGGTGGGTACGTCTTCCGCGTGATCCATCTGGCCCGCAGACCAGCAGTTTGACACCCATGCTTTAGATGATTGAGCATCACCTACTTTTCCCAGAAGGTAATGGGAAACAAATGGCTGTTTTTCTGCTGCTAATAGCAGCAAGGAAACAACAAGAATGGCATTAGTATTCCTATCAGCTGGGAAAGATGGGAATATGATTTCTTCTGGATATCAGTGAACTTGCTGGATTGTTGCTTCTCCTTTTCTAACAATGGCACTGATAATTGTAGTAACCTGCTACTAGATTGCTAGATTGCTAGAAAAGACGGAATGGTATTTCCTTTCCTTCTATTGATTGTTGTTATATATTCTGATTATGTAGATTATATATTTGTGGTTTGTAACCTGGAAATCAGATGTATTTTGAACGTGAAAGCCTCGCTGCAATTGTTTTAATGTAAACAGTAAGAAACTCATAAATCTTTAAACTCTGACCTCACTGAATCCTAGCAGGCCATCTGCAGCACTCTGAAAAAGATCTGGACCAAAATTAATTCCTGAGCACAAATGTTCAGTAATATCTTAAAAAAGAATGAAAGCACATCTATGTACTGTATGTACAAAAAGCCACTATTTCAAAGCTTCTCTGAAAAAAAAGTAGCCTCTTTTTTTGGCTGAAAGTTGAGGTGACGCTGATTCTTCCTTTATTGTAGTCTCCTGAGTAAAAATAGAAAAATGGGTGGTTGTATAGCACCATGAACTGCAACATGGAGATATTCTATTATGAGATTAAGAAATCTTCAAACAGTAATGGCTTCAGATAGCTTTAACAACTAGTAATTTATCTGCCTTTATGCATATAAGCATCTTTATTACATTGCCTTGATGGCTTCAGTTTCTATTGAAGAAAATTATGTTGCTGACCAAGGATAATGAATTTTTAAAAAATAACTTTAAGAGAAGTTATGGGTACAACAGAATAGCATAGTATTTAATAACAAAAGTTGGAAGATAAATTTAACTGTTCTAAAATGTTTTTAAAATGTGAAAAAATAGTCTTAAAGTATACATTTTCAAAGGTACACATTATAAAAACATACAAAATGAAGACCAAAATAGTAGGTTTTATTAACTAGGACAACAGTAGTGCTGTATGTCAAGAGGTCATATAGAAAAATGATGCTAAGGCATAAAAAAGGACTTTGCAGAATCACTACAAGTGAACACATATCACTAAACAGAAAATATGATTAACTTTATTTTTTATATTAGTGGATTTATAAGACCCCCCCACAACTCAATATGACTGGGCAGTGTACAAGAAAGAAGCTTTAACCAGAAAAGAACCATGTAATGTTAAAACAGGCACAAATAAATATGAATATGAAATTCAGAATATAAATAGCGACCATAATAAAAACAGCTAAAAGGAGACTCCACTCAAGTGGCCCCAAATACTTGGTTGAAAAGCAAAGTGTTAATGGCTATCCTAAAGATGAGCAGAGTTGGAGAAAATTGTAACAGAGAACAAAGGCAGCCACCGAAAAGGCACACTTCCCACGTCCCATAAGATGACAAGATCTAAAAGAGGGAACTTGGAGCATGATCTCCTTTTGGGAGTGAGTGGGGCAAGCAGATATTCTTGGGAAAAAGTGGTCCCACAACTAACCAGATCCTATGCCTTGTATATTTTTAAAGGTGATAACAGCACAACTTGTTATGCAAATATGTATTATTTATTTATTTTTATCCCACATTTATTTAGTTTTAAAAGTAACTCAAGGTAGCAAACACACATAATATTCCTTCCTCCTTCAAGCCTGTGAGGTGGGTTGGGCTAAGAGAGTGACTGGCTCAAAGTCACCCAGTCAGCTTTGGTGCCTAGACTGAGCCAAGATTGGTTCTAATAACAGCCCTAGATTTTTTCAGTGATTTATACACTTGCCAGACTCAAGATTAACATGTTAGTTGTTTTATGGAAATGAAGCCATAACAACACATATTTTCAGATTTTATTGCATTTGTTCTTGTAACTTGGTTTAATTTTATCTTAAACTACTTTGGACACATATCAGAATTTCCAGAGAAAATGTAACATGTTTTATTCTCACTTGCCTATGCACTGACATTGAAGTTATGCAGGATCTAGATGTTTGGATGTTGTACACTGACCTCGAATTTATTTTTTTGAAGAGTGATAATCAGATTATTAGAATTAATCTGTGTGTCTCAATATAAATTTCGGGTTCTTTGCATAATGAACATTGTGCAGAGGAGGACAACTGTCTATGGGAAGTACATACATTTAATTCATTTTATATTCTTTTTCTCCCCGTATGTAATTTACGGAAACTCATAGACAGTGCTGTGGTCGACTGCATCTTAAATTAAGCTGTTTTCGGCAATATTTGGTTGTAAATAGTTCCTGGGATCAACCCAGGAATGCATCAATTCCTCCATATTGAGAGGCAAGGGCACTCTGTCTATGTTCAAAGCGATATTATCATGCACTCAAACCTTCCATCCTAATAAGCAAGATACAAATTGAAGCCGTAGTTCTGGATATCAGACAAGTACCAGCCTTTTGAGGATCTTTTGCTGGAGCGAATCGGAGAACGAGGCGGCCTCTTGTTATTTTTCCGAATAGCGGAGCAAACCTCAGCGGAGGCCCAGAGAGGGCGCAACCCAAGACGGAACCCCACCCTGCTTGCTCTCCCGGCGGCCGTAGTGTTCAAGAGGACGCGGAGGGGGTGGGTGCGATGAGGTAGAGAATGGCCGCGCATGCGCAGTACTGAACCTAAGCGGCCGCGGTGATGGCTGCGCAGTGACGGTTGGAGCTAACGGTTGCTATTGACATTGGAGCTGGGCGTGTGGTGGATGGCTCTTGCGCGGAGGGCGGCTGGGAGCGACAAAGCCGTTAGCTCCGCGGAAGAGACGCAGGGAATCCGCGGTAATATGGACGCGCTGAAACTCTAGGCGGAGCAGCCTCCCCCGCCCCTATCAGAGCCGGGCCCAGGCCGTCGCCCTGCGCCGGGCTCGCGGATCCCGCCACCGCCCCCCCGATGCGGGGCCTCCCCTCCGCCTGAGGCGCCCGGGGAGGGCGAGGGAGCAAGGCCGGCATGGCCGGCCGCCTGGAATAATCCGTGGACGGCCGCCGCTGGTAGCAAGGAAGAGCGGCGGCGGGGGCAGTGGCGGGGGCGGGGGGAGCAAGCAAGTGGAGAAAAGCAGGCCCGGCCCTGGCTGTGACGGCGCGTCGATGCGGGGCTAGGAGCGCAGCCGCCCCTCGGCTTGCCCTGCCTGGGCGCGGAGCCGCGCTTTCTTCTCAGCCCGGAGCCGTTGGCCTCAGCGTCTGCGATGAACCCGGTGAATGCTACAGCCTTGTACATCTCCGCCAGTCGCCTGGTACTCAACTACGGCCCCGGGGAAGATCCGCAGTGCCTGGCCGAGATCGGCAAGCTGCTGCCCTACTTCCGGCAGTCGCTCTCCTGCTGCGTGTGCGGTGAGTGAGGCGCTTTCTATTGTTCTGGGCCGCGGGCGAGCCGGCACTCTCCTTCGCCTCCCTCCCTCCCTCCCTCCTTGTCTCCGTCAGTCCGTCTGTCTAGCTCGCTCTCGCCTCCCCTGTTACACCCACTGAAATGGGCAGGGAGCAATGCCGCCGCCGCCGCCTTTTAGGACGGTCCTCGTCAGCCGAGAGACGCCTGCCCTCAGGGCTTCCTCAGCCCTCTCGGGAGTTTTGAAAGTTGCCCTCTCTTTTGTCGGGTTTTAGAAACTGCTTCGCAACTAAACAGCTTGCCCTTGGAGAAGATTTTGTAAATGGAAACTGGTCTGGATTTTCACGATCTAATAAAACAAAACGACATGCTAACATTTTTGTGCTAGGCAAACTCAGCCCGTGTACTTATAGTGTGTTTCGTGTTAATTCCTAAAAATAGGTTAATCGAAGAAATTGTGGTTAACTTACGTATGGATATATATGTGCGAATACATCCATTACTTAACAAACCAAGCAAGATTCGAGTAACAATTTAAAAATATACAACTGAAATGTTATTTAAATTCTTCGGTATAATTGGTTTCTGAAATCATTCGGACTAGGTAACCTTTTCATAAACCTTCAAAATTGGGCTGTATGCTTAATTTAAAGACTTTTTTTTAGGTGGATGCATTTTTGATGTCTTCCTTGCATTTGTAACATAAAGTGCGTATCTTAATTACAAATAAATTTGTTGTATGTGACTTCTATGTATGATGTTAAATTTAGAATATGAAGTAGAACAACAGATTAGGGGCCCTAATGTTCAGAAAATTATTTCAACTTTGTAACAATCTATATTGAATTGTAAGTGGCAGGTATCTAACTTCAAACAGAAAGAGTGATATAAATGGGTAAATCAGAGTTTAAGCCCTTTGCTACTTAATTTTATACATTGAAAGGTGTTTAATGCTGTATGGATTATATTTTGGCTTTGTTTTTTTTTCTTGTATACTGCCCAGATTCACATTGTTTGAGTTACAGCCCTACGTAAATTCATTAAATATTTGTGGTGATTTGAGTGTGAGGTTTTGTTCATAGTAGATGTTTTCATTCATTTAAAATGCAGATTATTTGCACTATCACTAAAATTATTTATGTAAACTTTGTGCTGTCAGTATCGCAACTTTATGAAGAGTCTGTGATATCAGTACATTGCTTCTAAGCCATGTGTACGGAGTAACACTTCATAAATTTTGTGAAATAGATGTGAATCCACACTGCCTCCCCCAACCCATATGATATTTTTTTAGGTGTTACAAGGTTTTGTGCCTCTTTTTAGCATAATTCAAGAATTAAAATATTATGGCCAGTCATATCTGTATATGAGAACCAGTTTGCTATGTTGGTTAAAACCTGGCAGAGTTCTCGTGCTTCCTTAAGCACAAGTTCATCTGGATGGCCTTGGGTCAGTCTTTCTCTCTCTGATTCCTAGGCAGAAAGCGGTGGCAAATCATATCCAAAAATGTTTCCAAGAGAACTGTAGAGGCTTTTCCAGCAAGTCACCAGGAGTTAAGACTAACTTGAAGGCATTTCTGTATTTCCTTTATTTGTTGCTGTAAACTGCTTGGAATCCCTGTAATTGGACAGTAAACAAATCTTAGTTACAATAATATAAAACTGTACATTCTAGATGTTACTTATAAGGAATTTTATGTAAGTGAATATAATAATATTAGGACATAATACATAGTGTAAAAAAGAATAAGGTCACCCTAGTACTTAGATAGCAAAAGAAAAGAAAACTTCCACAGACATTTTAGAGTATTGAGACTGTTATAAAGATTGCAGAATGCAAACATGAAATTCTATTGAACAGTGAAAAGTTGTAACATTTTCTTCAATTCATGTTAATGTGTCATTTTGTGTCATGGCTATTACATTTTAAAATTAGCAATATTGAATTAATTATTGAAGTAAAATGCAAAATAACTTGCTTTCAGGTTGAACTCAAAGTGCTGGTAATGACTTATGAAGCTGTACTTTGTAAGAGGCCAGATTATTTGAGAGACCACCTCTCCCCTCTTACATCTAATTATCCAATTGGGGCTGGAAGAAAAGCCTTTATTATTGCAGTATCTACGGTTTGAAACAACATTTCTCCCCCCCCCCCACAAATTATACAAGTAGTCCTCAACTTACAACAGTTCATTTAGTGACCATTCAACGTTACAATGGCATTAAAAATGATTTATGCCTGTTTTTCACACTTGCAGCCATTGCAACATCCCCATGATCACATGATCAAAATTCAGATGCTTGGTAACTGACTCATATTTATGACAGTTGCAGTGTTCCGAGGTCATGTGATCACTTTTTGTGGCCTTCGGACAATAAAAGTCAATGGGGAAGCCAGATTCACTTAACAACTATGTTGCTAACTTAATAGCAATGATTCACTTAACTGTGGTTGTAAAATGGGACAAAACTTCTCGCTTAGCAAAAGAAATTTTGGCTCAATTGTGGTTGTAAGTTGAAGGCTACCTGTAGTGGCCCTGACCCTGCTCGCCTTTCAGAAGGCTCTCAAAACATACTTTGTCATACTGACTGGAGATCCAGTGGTGATGGAATGGAGCCTCTTTGCTGATTGTATTGTCAATCATTGTATGGATTGTATTCCATTACAAATAATGTTTTAATTGGTTTTTAGAAGGTTTATCTGGGTTGTTTATTTCTAATATATTCTGTTTTTATGAATCATATTTGAGATTGTCAGCTATATAAACTGAATGAATGAATAAATAATGTAAGTTTTGCATTGCTTTTTATATATATTGGATTTTCAATTTCTATCACCTTTTTGAATTCCTGTTTTTAAAAGAAATAACAGTTATGTTGAAAGGGACAATTTAACTTTTATTTTGTTTTTTGTTTTTTAAAAAAACCAACCCTTTTATATTGAGTGTCACAGCCATTTATTACTATAGAAGTGCCTCATAGCAGCTTGGCATCTCTAATAGAGATCCTTAGTTTTGCTTAGTCCTGATTTTCCCCAATCTCTCTTGTAATAGAATAACATAAGATTCCCCTTTAAAATCAGTTATAAATGAAATAAACCATCAATTTTAGCAGATCTGTAGTAAGCAGATTTCTAATATAGTGGATAAAATTTCCATTTGGGCATTACCTCAAAATAAAAAAGTCTGTTGTATGTGAAATAATCCAGATGGTTTGTATAAATTGTCTTCTGTTATTTGCATCTATTTTTATTATTTGTATAATTGATGCAAATACCTACATTTTGGACTGCATTAATATTTACTTACACTCCATCTCCCTGAATGGTTATTAAGCTGAGATTTACTGTATAAAAAAATAATTGTTCATTTACTTTTCTTTTTTTTTTTAGTACCCATAATTATTTTTGAGGTTGGTTTGTGGATCAACGTATTCTGCAAACCTGGGCAGTTTAAGAAACTCTGATTATACAAAATATTAGCCCATTTTTTTAAACACAGTCAATATACCACTTTAGCTCTAGCAGGTGTCTCTATTCATAGAATGTCCTTGAACCTTAAGCAGATGTGATAGTAAAAGGGCAAGAAAAGTCTTGTATTGTAAAGGTAGCTTTTGAGTTAGCAAGCTAACCAAAATCCTAATGTGCTTATTTTTGACATGGTTACTGACATTCTTTTCTTATAACCTTATATAGAAAGCAGATTTTAGAAAGCAGCATCTTTCATTCTAGGAACCAAACTCTTACTGTCTTCTTAGAACAATCTTTATTTGCATATAATTGCATTCTTGCATATTATCCCACATAAACTTCAATTTGAGGTCATGAATTTTCTGATCAGTGTAAGGCACGAGTGTCAAACTCGATCACATCACATGATGAATCATGGCGTATTGCGATGTTTTTTGCATTTACAGAGCTGGGGTGGGTGTGGCCTGTGCGTGATACATCTGGCCCACGGGCCGCCAGTTTGATACCCCCTGATGTAAGGTCTTCAGCCTACTGTAAAGTCAGTAGAGTTCAATGCTTTGGTTAAATTATTTGCAGTGATGGTTAGATCCTTCTATTTTATGATTCTTAGAAAAAAAGTTAAGATGTAAAGGCTGTATCGCATAATACTTTTACAAAAAACCTTCAATGTATTTTTTGATTTCTGTAAGTATAACTGCTTTAGCTCAGTTTAGATCTTAGATTTTATATTCTTGACAAGCTGAGGAATTTCTAGGGAGTTTATTGCGTTGAACATAGTAGGATTTAGAATTGTGGTAGTGTTAATGACCCAAAACATAGTTATTTCATCAGCTCAGAGTTGCTTAATGTCTCCTTGTTTCTGCCACAACAGTTCTGCACTCCAGCTCTTCTTCTTCTCCAATTTTTTTCTGCTGCTCCCAACAATTGAGGACAGATTTCTTAATAAAAATAAGAGAAAATATAAAGTAAATATTGCTTAAATTCATGCATTAGCAAATATTCTTGATACTTTTAAAAGTTTGCCTTAGAATTTATATCAATTTGTGGTTTTAGTTGCCTCTTTAGGAAAAGTGTTTTACAAATAGATGTTTCTTTTTGAATTAAGGGAGAAGGGAAAAAAGGTGAATCTCCTTTATTAAATATTGAGATTGTTTAATTTAAACAGGGAAGATTGTAATATTTCAATATTCTAGTTATAATAAAATTTCATAACCCCAAAAGAGGCTTTATTGTGGCACTACCATCCTTCCTATTCTTTTGACCTCCCACCTGATAGTAACAAAGAAGGTGTTAGTCATATAGTATCATTATGGTTTCATATGTTGAATATATTATTGCTGCTACTGATTTTACCTCAGAGGTTCTGCTATTTCCATTTGATTTTATATATTATATGTTTATTCTATAAAATATCCAAAGAATTGTGGCCAATACGTATATGGGTATGCATGTTCATCTTCCTTGTTCATTTCTTGGCAATACTTATACAACAACTGAATTAAATGATTAAGTGTTGCAATACTGTTGATTCTGACTAATACAGGATTTAGCCTAAAGCCTGTACTTTGAGTTGGGCTAGTCAGTGGTTATTGTGGTCTATATTTGTGTTGTCATTTATTGTTTTTTTATGGTTTTTATGCTGATTTTAGCTATTAGCCACTAAGAATTCTGAATTTGAGATGTGCAGCCTTTGAATTGAAATAAATAAACAAGGAAATAAATTATATTTTATTTGAGCAGAATCTGTGGGGGGAAAGACCAATACCAGCAGTATGGAGTGCTAATGGCTGTGAGCATGTACCTTACTAAGGCCAGGTTGGTCATGCCACTCTGGTTTATTTTGGGGAAGAAAAACTGCCATTCTTGTATTGCTGTAGCTGAGCTTTGTAAAGGATCGAAGGAAGAAGCTACTCTGTTAGTGCTAGTTTTTTATATTAATTTGTGCATATGCAAGGCTGGTCTACAGGTAGTCCTCGACTTACAACAGTTCATTTAGTGACCATTCAGAGTTACAACGGCACTGAAAAATGTGACTTAGGACCATTTTTCACACTTACAACCATTGCAGCATTCCCATGGCCACATGATTTACATTTGGATGCTTGACAACTGATTCGTATTTATGACGGTTGCAGTGTCCCGGAGTCATGTGATCACCTTTTGTGATCAATGGGGAAACCAGAGTCAGTTAACAACAGTTAACAATTTAACAATTGTAGTGATTCACTTAACAAATGCGGCAAGAAAAGTTGTAAAATGGGGCAAAACTCACTTAACAAATTTCTCACTTAGCAACATACATTCTGGGCTCAATTGTGGTCATAGGTCGAGGACTCCCTGTAGTTTATTACTGTTGTGAGAAGCAGTTGTTCAGGCTAATGTTCTTCATAGGGTTGTGAAGGAAAATGAGAGCAAGGAGAGCTGCACAGGTAGTCCTTGACTTACAATCATAAGGATTAGTTTAGATTAGATAAGCATAAGGATTAGATAAGAATTATGGTTGTAATTTGAGTCATGTGACTGATTTGGTTTTACAGCATTTTTTGCAGCAGTCATAAAGCAAACCCATTATTTGCAATGGGTGTTTTTTGCCAGAAATTGGAAATAAGCACTGATTTCTGGCAAAAAATCTAAATTAATCATGTGCCCACAGGATGCTGCTAACAACTGTAAATGCAGTCCAGTTGCCAAGTGCCCAAAATGCAATCATGTGACTGGGGGGCGGACATCAGAACTTCGAATCTAGGTCGTAAGTACCTTTTTGGGGTATATTGTAATTTCAAATGGTCACTAAGCAAATGGTTATTAAGCAAGGACTAATATGCCTCCTTAAGCTCATAAATGAAAGTTGGAATATACTGTAAATCTAATAAATTATTCATAAACAGATAACAGATAAATAATCTAATGAATATGTAATGATTGAATAAAGGATATATTGGTGTGCTTCTCATCTATTTTTATTAATAATACTCAGTATTTTAATAACAGTTTACACTGAATAAAATCTAAAAAGAGAGGCTATTACACTGCAAGTTATTAAATCAAAAAGCTCATAAAGTTCCATTGGTACCTAAGATGCATGGAAATTTGGATGCAGCTGGAGCTTAACCTTTACAAACTCAAGAATGACATTTGTTAAATGTCCAACTTGAGTTATAAAACAGCAATATTATTAATCAAAATTCAAATGTGTATAGCTGCCCATCTAAAGCAACTCTGGGCGTTGTACAACAATTAAATAAACAACAGATAATAAATATAAAAATCTACATTAAAAATAAATATTATAAAAACAATATAAAAACCCTGGGCAGAGAAATGATAAGAATGTCCACCTCAACAATCCAGCTATCTAAGCATGTCTCTAGTTCTCTGGGAGCCCCAGGCCTGATAACATAACCAGGTTTTGTGGGACTTCTGAAACGTCAAAAGGGTTGGAACTAATCTGATTTCAGCGGGAAGCAATAGTTCCTTATGTCCTCCTCTGATTAGTCTAAAAACCAATACAAATATTTTCATTCTTTATCAGGTTATGAATCTATAACTTCAGAGCACAACCTTAAGAAAAATGCCTTAGTAATTACCAATTCTGTGTAATGAGAAAGGGAGAGAGCATTAACAAATATAATATATCCTTAGTGTTCCATTGTTTTCAATATCAGTTAAAAACTACATCTAGCTCAAATATGTATTGACCAAGTCATAATAATAAATCTGATAACATTTCGGAAATTAAGGACATACTCATACAATAAATATAGCTTCAATTTAAAAGGTTTTTAATTTTTTAATTTAAAATTTAAAGAAGAAGGAAATGCACTAGAATTGGAAGATGTACGTAGCTCTGTGGATAATGTTACCTAGTATGTTACATAGGTGGCTAGGAGATTTGTTTAGTGAGAGAAAAAAACTTTAAAAAAAAACTCACATCTTTCTATGATTTGTCTAGCAATTACAGTAATATGGCATGGCTGGAGAACAACAAATTAATTGCTTTTAAATGACCAAATCCAACTTCAGACCCAATTTCCAAAGAAATTTGTAGCAAGAACAAGCAGTTTATGCTAGAAAACCATCAAATGTTACCGACCTGAAACAGTTTACAATGGAGAAATAGGGGGAAATCCCTACACACCAGTAGAAAGATGGATTATCTATTACATGAAATGTTTAATTGCAATCACTGCAGATAGAGGTGGCACACTCTTTTACTAAATCCAAGGGAGTAATTACCTTTTCACATTGGCATATCACATGTTGGAAAACTTTGTCACTGGGGCATTATTCAGAGGATCCACATGAAGTTCTACTAATGTTCAGTGGTAAAAATATGCAAGAATTTAGAACAAGCAAAAGTTCTTACTTGCTAACTTTAAAAATATGTTAAAGCTTTTCTCTAAGATCTGACTAAATGTTGTATTTACCTGAGATTTCCCTATGGATAATCAAAAGACTTCCTACCAATAGCTATTAAAAACTGCATAGAACATGTTTACTTTTAATAAGTGAAGCTACTGACTATTGCTCATCATTTTTCTTATTATTAGTTGCCTTATGAGTAGGGTCAATGAAACATGTTCTCTGTACAGTGAGATAACAATAATTTATTCTCCCGCTATTGATATTTTCAGCATTGGGGATTCTCTGTGTCCAGAATGGGCATAGATAATGGCTCAGTAGTTAAGTAGTATGTGCAATGCATAGCCAGTTTCTCTGTTTCTGCTTTATACTTTATATTTGAAGTATTGGAAGGCTCCATAGGAATATTAATATTTTAAATATACGTGTGCACATGCATAGCCACCCTTCCACACATATATACAATTTGGCCATCTTTTAAATGTTATAGTATAGAATACATACTTTTTCTCTCTTGGTGGTTAAGGTTTATTGACAAATGTTTTGCTTCTGTTGCTTTGATCAAATTTGTCTATTCTTCCCAATTCCTTATAATTAGGAATATTATAAATGATGTCTTCAAAATTCATACTTCACTAAAACGGAATTATGTCACATGCCTATTTAGTATTTATTTATTAAACTTAATATAAGATTTTAATCATTTTTTAAAAAAGTTTAAACTAAGGTTTATATCACATAATTAATCAGAAAACTTATTGGAAGAGCCTTGTATCATTCAATCTAGAACAATCAAATGTTATTATGGAATTGTAGAAATTCTTGTATCTTGCTCTAATATTGAAAATACTCGAGCATTGACAATGAAGTTGAAAGTATGTGCTGTCATAGGTTGATGATACGCCAAATGTTGCTATTAACTTGATCAGCTAAAACAGGGGTAGTCAACCTTGGCTCTTTTATGACTCGTGGACTTCAATTCCCAGAATTCCTGAGCCAGCTTAGCTGGCTCAGGAATTCTGGGAGTTGAAGTCCACGAGTCATAAAAGAGCCAAGGTTGACTACCCCTGAGCTAAAACATACAGCAGTGGCATTACACAGACTTTCTAGTTGTTGAAAAACAATTTTTAAATTACTCTTGAGTTTTTATAATCTCCTTTTTTTTCCTCTTAGGAAATCTGCTACAAGATCCAATTGCACCCACCAACTCTACATGTCAACATTATGTCTGTAAAACCTGTAAAGGCAAGAAGATGATGATGAAACCATCATGTAGTTGGTGCAAAGACTATGAGCAGTTTGAAGAAAATAAACAGTTAAGCATTCTGGTGAACTGTTATAAAAAACTATGTGAGTACATAATACAAACGCCATTAGGACGAGATATTAAGCAAGCTGTTGACAGTTCCCCAGATCTTTTGACTTTGCTTAAAGATGGCACCCCACTCAGTGTTGACACAGAAAAAGCATCTGATGAAGCCTTGGCAATGTGTTTGATCCGTTCCCCTTCACCTTCAACTTCAGAGTATGCTAACGAGCCTCCAACAAGTTGTTCTATACCTGAAAGCACCTATGATTGTGATGTAAAAGGCTCCACTGTTAATGGTCTGCCCAGTTGTAATGGGCTCTCAGTAGATAAACTTGGAGTAAATATTCCATCTCCTGAACATGCAAATACAGTCAGTATATGTAATCCTGGACAATACATAAAAACTGAAGATATTTCTAGCAGTCTTCAGCCTATGTGTGACATAGTTTCCCCTGGTGACTTGTGTGCAACCGGCATTGATATTCATGGTTTCAGTGAAGACATCAAACCTGGTGACCCTCTTTTACTTAGTGTTGAGGAAGTGCTACGGAGTTTGGACTCCAATGCAGGAGTATGTAGCCCTAATCTACAGCACAGCTTGGAAACCAATTTAACAAATGGTCCATTTTTGCAGCTTTCACCCCCACCAACTAGCCACAATGTGTATATATCAGTGGATGCTTCACCTCATGGGATTTCATGTACAGCTGCAACACCTAAGGTAGCAAAATTAAACAGAAAGCGATCACGATCAGAAAGTGACAGTGAAAAGCTTCAGCATATTCCAATTTCTAGCATTCTTTGTGGCCCAACATTGGGGGCCTCAGCTCCAGTAATGATGAAGCAGGAATCAAAGATGTCTTTGCAGTCAATAGTAGCTGTACCTAATGGAGGTACTGCTCCTAAAATAGGTAAAACTGTACTACTATCAAATAAAAGCATGAAAAAAAATATAGACCATACCACCAAGAAATCTCATCCAAAATCTAAATCAGGAATGCTAAAAAAGTCGAAAGAAAAAAATCCTAGCAGTCACGTTGTGCCAGGAAGTCCAACAAAAACTGTGTACAAAAAGGCACAAGAGAAAAAGGGGTGCAAATGTGGCCGAGCTACACAAAATCCAAGTGTTCTTACATGTCGTGGCCAGCGCTGCCCTTGCTACTCAAATCGCAAAGCCTGTTTAGACTGCATATGCCGTGGCTGCCAAAATTCATATATGGCTAATGGGGAAAAGAAATTGGAAGCATTTGCAGTGCCAGAAAAAGCTTTGGAGCAGACTAGGCTTACTTTGGGCATTAATGTGACCAGCATTGCGGTGCGCAATGCCAGCACAAGTACCAGTGTAATTAATATGACAGGGTCACCGGTAACGACATTTTTAGCTGCCAGTACAAACGATGATAAGAACTTGGATGAAGCTATGGACATGAGATATGACTGCTGAGTCTTTCTTTCTCCCCTCCTTTAGTAAGGGGACTGCTACAATTTGAAGGCAGCTATGGTTCTCTTTAACTTGCCGGAGCTCCTGCATATAGATCACTTGTATCAAGTGTTTTCATTGCTATGTTGTGTGTTAGTGTCAGGGAAATAGTTTGCTGGTAATTGCGGAATTATCCCAAAACAGTCTTTAGTTCTTACAACATCTCATAGTTTGAGATCAAATCCTAATGTAAATGATTTTTAATACAGAACTACTTTTTTGGCATATACTGACCTTGTTGTACCAATTCATGCTTTGTGCTTAATCAGAAATTGATTTAATATACGGAAATTATTTCTAGTCAGTCCATCACAGTTGTGCTAATACATGATGTATCCATGTTCAGTATCATCATTGCAAGAAAAATGACATGCTAAACTAATAAAAACTTCAACAGCCAATCTTGTAATACCACATTATTTGTGGATAGGGAAGTTAATAATTCAGCACCTAAACTTTGTTCAGAAATAAAAGATATTACTATAATTGTCCAGCTACTGTATGCTGACCTGAAACCAAGAAATGATCATACTGGACTTTAGCTTCAGTTGATATCACTCAAGACGTTCAAAAGCTTGATCATCTTTTGGAAAAGAAAAAGTTGTTCCTGTTTTTTAATTTCACACTTTTTTTTACAGATTGATATCATTAATCTGTGTCATGCTATGTCATAAACTTAACATTCATCATCGGGATATTTTTGCTGAGTTCATTATGAAATAGATACTGTATTTTTTTAACTCTGTTATGCTAGTTGGCTAAAAAATAAAAATGGTTTTAAGTCTTATGCCAAAGTTATTGAGACATCATTATATTTTAGATTTTAAAATCTGACAGCTATTAGCACATTCTTGCAGTTTAAGGCATGTAACACTGTCAAAACATAGTTTTCACTTGAAATTACCATATCTGTTCCAAGATTAGGCCCTTGGTTTTCCCCAATTTATATTTGTGGCAGGCTCCTGGATTAAATCCTACAATGCAAGAGTAGAATGTGTCAAGAATGGAGGTTTTCTTAGTTGATATCCTTAAAGAGCTGATATAAAACCTGCTGATTAAGCAGGATTTTGAAATTAATTCTAAGTTACACCATTGGAAAAGTCAATCCACATTGAAAATATGTTAATTCGTATCAATTTTACGAATTACGATTAGTGTTTAATACTTCTTTATTTTATTTTGCATAAAGTATGGGCTGACTAGAACAGAAAATATTGGGTTGTATCCAATTAAACCTCTTCCTTACAACCCTATGGAGGGAGGGAAGACTGTCGTCAGGAAATGTCCTATTGTACAAGTCAAAGATTTCTTTTGCAACACTGGATTTTGCCCTTTTTGTTATCTTGTTTTATAAAGGACTATGTTCTGATTTACAGCAATATTTCAGCAGCTGTTATAAAAAGACATTATACCATAGATTCTTAAACACATTTATGTTTGCCATCTAATTGTTAACTGGATAATATTGCTAATGAACTGTAACATTAGATATGTTGGATTTGGCACAAAGCATGTACAATGATGGTTACTAGGTCTAAAAATAAGACAAAAAGTTTTGGATACTGGTTGGGTGATGTCTCCTTTTTCTTCTATAGTGTACCAGGTGTCATTTTATGTCAATGTGAGCAAATAATTATTTTGTTGACTTTCAGATTTGTTTTCCCCCCTGTCTTTTCTGTGGGTGGGGCAGGGTGTGGGGGGAGGGTTAAAGCCATAGGAAGAAGAATGTGATGTAAGTGTTCAGTATGTTTTTTTGTTTCTGTTTTGCAAGAAGAGTTGAAAAATATTTTTGATAATGAGAGTAAATGGTGGAAAATGCTCTTTAGTATTCCTGTCTTTTTTTGCAGCTAACCTCTTGAATTTTACATTTAACTTGTAATTTAATATGTCCTATTAAAATATATCAGATGAATATGAATATGATTTTTATGCGGACCAAATAGGATGTCCCATTTTTGAATCTTAACTTTCTAAAGCAAAACTTTTTCTTTCAGTATCTTAAGAAGGGTAATCAAAGCAGAAGTCTTGAAATTTATCCTAACATACATGGTGCAATGGAAAGCTAATGGAAGTAGTCATTAAACTTTTTCTTTCTTTCTAAACATTTCTGATAGTTCAGTTATGAAGTTCTACTGTGTAATAAATACGCCTGTTCTCCATATTTTGGTATTTTTCAGACATACTAATAGCATTTTGTTAGCTGATTATTTAAATATTCCTTGGAATTGTTTATTTGTTATTCTGTATCTTTGACGGTTAATTCAAGTTTGTTTTAATGATACAAGTTTTCTTCTTCACTGCCATAGAAGCTGAGGTAATAAATGTCAGTCCTAAAACTGAATTTTGTAAAACAACATAAAATATTTAGTGCTCAAGAATACTTTTTTAAAGATATCAGTGCTCAATTTAATGAAATAATTGTACAACTTACCATGCTATCCACAAAAGGTTATCAGAAGTAGTAGTTTTGAATCCCTATATTCTAACAACTTTTCTTTGTTGTTTTGGTTACTGTAAAACATAATTTTAGGGAAGGAAATTACATCAGTGCTTTTTGCATTCTCTAATTTTCCTCCATTGTTGCCTCTTAGTTTGATTGAATGAAAATATATTTTACTAGAAAAAAAGGAACTTTTTTGCAACCTTTGCTAAATCTAGCTGTTGCTATAACTGCTTCATAGACCATTTTCTTTCAGAACAAAGTTTTTAGTAGAAAAATGTATTGCCCAAATGTTTGTCACACAGTCACTGTTTTGAGCATTCACAGAACAATAACAAAATTGCACTAAAACTGAAAAATAAATGTGAAAAAATAACTTGCATATTTAAGTTCTGTTGATTGTTAATTGAAAATAGTGATTCCACAAATTCTGGATTCAGATGTCAGTATATATTTGTAAGATCCATATGTAGAGTTTCATTGGAAATTGAACAAATTACAGTGAGGGAAGGACACTAGAATGTTTTTCTCTGGAATCCTGCTTTGTAAACATTGTTTTGTTTTTCCAAAAGGGAAGCAAACTTATATAATTTAAGTTATGTAAGTTAGATTTGTAGTTTGAATGGATGAATGTTTCAGTTGTATGGTCTAGTCCCCTTCACTGCAAAGGTTCTAGATTTTTTATTATTATTTTTGAAACCTAGTGGCATGCAGTGGTCCCTGCCTTTGCTTCTTGGGATGATGTTCTGGTATTAATGTAGTTCTTACTGTTTAAATGTTGCGAAGAATGGGTATGTGGTTGGTGTTGCTTTCTAAAACATCATGGTTTAGATTCTGATGTATTTCTTTCAAAATGCAACTTCGGTACCTCTTCAATGATATGGCTGAAGTCATTGGTTTTCTTTAAAGATTCCTGTAGGACTACCATTTCTAAGGAAAACAGTAGATGGTAAATGAAATAAAAATGTTATTGTCTTTTCTTATAATGAATGATGTAATGCTGAATGGTGTATAAATTTTGCCCAGATGGTACCTATTTAAACTCAACTGCAGGGCAGATCACACTTCCAATACGTTTGGCTTGTTAAAGACAATAACAGATGAATCAGTTGTACAACATTTTGAGTGCTCTTATTGTGCAATCATGTTTTGTAATGACTCAGCATAATTCTATTTTATAACCTTTTAAAATAATTTCATATACATATTAAATATCAGACTGTAGTGTTCCCAACATAAATATTACAAAATATATGATTCTTGTACAACAGTTACTAAAACAGCTTGTACAGATGTAGGGAAAAATACAAGAGAGATACATACCTTATAACTTTACAGTTTTTCAAAAGGAGAATGTGGCCTTGGATCTTTTTCCAGCTGCTGTATTTATTATTGCATTGGTTGAAAGCTCAAATAAATGGGGGGAGGGAGTTTGCAAATTTTATTTCTTATTAATTTTACAGCTATTGCTGTTAACCACCACTTATAATTCTTGAGATTAATAGATCAAACTAACTGATCTGGTATCTTTGACATGAATTCTAATTTTAGCAAGAAAACCCAAAGAACCCTTTGTCTAAAGTAAGAGGGGAAAAACCATAAAATCATAAAGTTGGAAGCAACAATTTAATCTATTAACAGTCGACCTCCTGACCTCCTGTTTGTATTGGAATCCAAATCCAAATCCTGTACCATGTGGTTATCCAGCTGTCTTTCAAAAACATCCTGTGAATGGGAGTTAATCGCCGCTTTTGGTAAGTGGTTCATTGTCAAATTGATATTATTGTTAGGAAGAACTAACATTCATTTGAAATATTACTTCCAGTTCTCAATCTATTTCTGTATGACACTTTCAGTTATTTGAAAACTGCTATTATGTCTCAACCTATTCATATTTTTTGTGGACTAATAATCAGTTTCTTCAGACACTCTTTGTTAGACTTAATTTCTAGTACACTGAACATTCTTGTTGCCTATACAGGTAGTCCATGACTTAGAACCATTTGTTTAGCGACTGAAGTTACAACGGCACTGAAAAAAAGTGACTTATGACCAGTTGTCATACTTAACGACCATTGCAGCATCCCCATGGTCACATGATGAAAATTTGGGTACTTGGCAACTGGCATGTATTTATGACAACTGCACTGTCCCTGAGTCATGTAATCACCATTTGTAATCTTCCCAGCCAGCTTCCAACAAGCAAAGTTAATGAGGGAAGTCTGATTCGCTTAACGACCACATGATTCACTTAACAACTTTGGCAAAAAGTTACAAAATGGGACAAAACTCCCTTAACAACTATCTTGCTTAGCAAAATAAACTTGGTTATAAGTCGAAGACTACCTGAACCTTTCTTAAAATACGTTTAATGGGTTGAATTGAACTTAATATTTGAAATAGTGTTTAACCAATACTAAATATATTCTATTGGAAAATAATATTTTTCCTGCTACAGACTGTATTATATCAATACATTTTCATTTTTAGCAATGATACCACACTGTCAACTCAAGTTCAGTTTATGATTCAGTTTATTATTCCCAATATTCTTTTTACATGTGCTAAACCATCACAGATACACCTATCTTATATTAATATATATTATTTCTTTTCCCCATGTTCATAATATTTGGGGGGTTCCTATATTTTCCATAGTTTTTCCAATCTATCAAGATTATAGAAATGGGATCTGAAGCTCAAAATAAATAAACGGAGTGGAATTTTTAAAAGATCTTGGGAACACAAAGGAGGCAGTGAGACAATTAAGGGAAGAAACAGCCATTACAGAAGAGAGATCATAGGAGAAAAAAGACTCAAGTAACTGCTTTAATCACATTAAGCATAGGTTTTTGAGAGAATTTGGTAGGCTTTCAAAAGTTTGTTATACTACCCTATCAACAATAAAGATCCTTCCAGAAATCCAAGTGGTTCTTTTTTCTGAATTGGGATTGGTGAAAAATCATTTATGTCATAATGTGTTTGACGCAGTCAGTTATAGTTTATATGAGAGACCAGGGTTAAAGCCAGAATCAAACTGAACTATGATTTAACGCACTGTATGAATCAAGTCTTACCGTTGGTTTATTAATGAAATTTTAAATGCATTAATTACAGGCAATAATACAAGTTGGCTTCAGTTATAAAGTAGTGCTATGGCTATGTTTTCCTGATGAACTTATATGAGGTTGATTAAGCCATGTTATATGTTATTAACCTGATTTTTTGGGATTTGCACGTGTAATACACATATTTGCACACATATGTTAAGAAAAATGGTGATTTAAGCCCCATGGCGCTTACAAAAGAGTCTCTATAACTTCATACTACCCTTTCCATGTTGCTTTTTGGTGTGCTAGCACCATCCATTATTTCAGAGAAAATCCATCTCTAATTTTCAAGAACAGTGGCACCTTCTCTGACTTTTCTCAGTAACTTAGCCTAATGAGGAGCATGTTAAAGTCATCTGAAAATGAGTGGCTAATTCAAGATATAAATTCAAGCCTTTTATTAGTATATATAGGTCAGTGAATTAAGAGTACTGACAAAAGTGAGGGGGGAAAACAACACATTTAGCAAAGTTGTGGTTGCTTCGGTACCACTGGGCTTCTGACTACACTAAGCAGAAACATGTCCATTGTGCAGCACAAGGAAAGATGGGAGGGGCATATATTGGTCCTATTCCCTCCCTCCCTCTGGCCCCTGCATTTAACCTGTTGGCATCAAGGCTAGTTGTGTGAGCAACATTTAGCTGCTTTGGAACAGAGGCCAAAATGTAAATCTCTGGTGGGTAACAAGAAAAGGACAAGGGAGCAACGTGGATGCCTGCTGGTGAGTAGGGCTAGTTGGGGGTGCCAGTGATTGAGGGGCGAGCCTTCTTTCTCCCTGGAGGAGGGGCCCTTGGGGACACACTGGGATGGAGACTGGAGAAGCAGCGTTCCTTGCTGTCCAGTTACCTTTGTTCCCCCTCCCCACCCAGCAAAGTGGCCGTCAGTTCTGCAGGTCAGCTGATGCGAATGAGTGATTCCCAATACTCTCTGCCAGCTTCCCAAATGAAAAACCAATGGAAAAGCTGGCAGGAAGTCAGGTGTTGCTCCTGCTCCCACTGCTATACCCATTCAGCTGGTGGCAAGGCCCAACAGGTAAGTGGCAATTGGATACTCTGAAACTGAGGTTAAAAACTAAAATCTCTTAATAGCAATGTGTGGTGAGGGGAGGACAAGGGAGTGACTTGGATGTCTGCTGGCAAGGTAAGGCTAGCTGGGAAGCACTGGCAGTTGATGCGTGAATCCTCTTCCTCCATGGAGGGAGTAGGCTCTTGGGACACACTGGGATGGGGAGTGAGATGCAGTTTTCCTTGCAGTCTGCAGCTCTTTGTTCCTCTCTTCCTCTCAGCAAAGTGGCAGGCAGTCCTGTCAGTCAGCCAAGGAGAGGAAGAGTGATTTCTGATGCTCCCTGCTAGCTTTCCACACGCAGCATCGATGGGAAAGTCAGTTGGAAGTTGGTCCCACACACGTTGATTTTTTTGCTCATCCATTGCTCATTCCATTGTTTCCTCTCCCCCCAGCAAAGTGGCAGGCAGTTCCACAGGTCAGTTGAGGAGGAGGAGTGATTTCTGGCACTTCTTGCCAGCTTTCCACAAGCAAAATCAATGGGGAAGCTGGAAGGAAGTTACTCCCACTGCCATTGCTCATCCAATCAGCTGGCAGTAAGGCCTGATGGGTGAGCAGCGTTTGGTTGCTTTAGAATAGAGGCTGAACTCTGAAATCTCTTTAATGGCAGTGGGTAACTAAAGAAGGATTAAGGAGAAACTCGAATGCCTACTGGCGAGGTAGAAATAGCTGGGGGGTGCCGATGGTCAGTGGCTGAGCCCTCTTTCTCCCTGGAGAGAGTAAGCTCTTGGGGTACTCCAGGATGAGTGTGGGTGCAGTT